GCATAACGCTCCAATAATTGGACTAGTCTGAACTTGTCTGAATCACATAACTCTAGAATTTTCACCTATGCCTCTTAAATCTACCATTTTTTGAGTCTCTTGCCAGCAAATTTATCAGCCAACTTTTCTTTCAATAATGAACACTCGGCACCCGAGTCAAAGAAAAATGGAACGGGCTCACCAAACTGATATAGGGTTCCTCTTGGCTCCACCACGGTACAAACATCTACCCGCTTCTCGTATGTGCTGCTTCTATTCGATGTTGAGGTCCCCTTTGTACACGCAGACGCAATATGCCCAGGGTTGCCACACTTAAAACATGTCACGGTTGCTCGTTCTTTGCTTTGTGTTTTGTTGCTATGCGCTTGTTTGCCCTTGAACGCATTCCATTCTCCAGTTTTTCGGTTTCGGCATTCTGCAATCTTATGTCCCATTTTGCCACAGAAATGGCCCTTTATATGGGACATCAATTTTTGCTTCTTCCGTCCTGTGCTGGGGCCGTGATCTGTCGTAGAATGGTCACTTCGTTTACCAAACGAATACGCTCGTAACTGCTGTTCCAATTCACTACGTGTTCTGATATTGGTGGTCTATTTGAGAGGTGTGAGCCAGCACAACAGACACTGCTATTTCCTCCATATTCACAGTTTTCCATTTTGATAGCAGAGACGTCAATAAGCGGCTGGCATATACCGACAGATATTCGCTCGACTTGGGACTCCCGTTGAAAATGTTTAGTAAAATGGCTGCTGGCGTCTCTATTGCCTCGTAACGCTGAATACACAATTCACGAAACTCAGGCCATTTGATACCCGTGTAGCAGATCTGTGATAACAATTGTGATACTCCACCATCCAAAGAGTCGCTGAGTGCCATCACGAGTGCGCTGTCTTCCAAAGGGGTTTCAGCCATGATTATATCCACGGGTTTGCACCATGCTGCAGTATCCGCACCCACAGCGTCGGGACTTTACTTTCGAAGAGTTACAATTTTGCTTGTGTGGTCCGCCATTTTTTATGCCTGCATCGATTTTAGGACTTCCATGAAATGTTTGTTCTGGGCCTCGAAAAGTGCGCTCCAATGGTTGTCGGGATGATTTGGTGGTGAGGCCGATCCCACTTCTGATGTCGGGCCATGTTCGTTGTTGTCAAGCGCCTCTCTTTCGTCCGCCATATCTCAATGAAAATTCTGCAGCACAGCAAGTCGCACGTAGTCCTTCTTTTGCCTCTAGAACTGGACTGAATCCACTCTTCGTTTTCCAACACTTGCGCCATGCACATCTGGGAGCAACTCCCGCTCTCCGACTATGCTATCAGCAACATTGAGTCTATACCAAATGAACCGAACCAGCTGTTTATTAATATTAATTGTTTATGAAATACAATTTTTTATTCTCCGACACATACATAAAATATTTCATACATGACTTCACATACAAGTAATTGTCAATCGGGTATTCAGCGTTCGTCGTGTCAATAAGAAAATTTTCGTGAAGCCCGAATGCGTGCATGCATAAGTGCATGTGCACAGCAAATAGTTTTATCAAAATTTCTGATCTGCCTAAAATTGATTTACCGAAATAGGGGTTGGGGGACGAAAATCCTTTTTGGTTTTTTTAATATTTCATTTAATTTAATATTTAAATAAAAACAATTTATTAAGAGTTTAAATATGAATGAAAATGAAAATTGTTTGCTTTGCAAAAGTACGCACATATATGCACTTTAAGGTTCTAAGTGTACTCACACATGCAAGCGTATCCTATTTTTAGATTTGTACGCTCTCAAATCTGTGCGAGTGAAAGGAGCGAAATTCGTCACTTGCAAAAACATTGCTTTGCTTTGACCAAGTCGCCCGCGTCAACGGGAACGAATACGAATATGTAAACCACAGTAATGGTCCGAAAAAGATCCTTGGCGTAACGACCTCAGAGAGGATCAACATCACCCGGCACCAAACACTGCTAAGCCTGCCGTATCTCTATCGACTCAGCGAGGAGAACCTTCAACATCTAGCTAAAGTTAAGACAAGCCTTGCTATTAGGCCCATTGTGGCCATCACCATAGGCGTGGCCATATGCGCCACCATGATTGGAGTTTTCTGGTGGTTGCGGCACAGGCAGCAAAAGGGAACATGCGTTGCTATACAACAAATATTGATGAACATTGGTGTGACCGAGGAAGGACCGAGTGACCGAATGTTAACCAAATTGTCCACTGGGCAGAGAAACTTCTACATTTTCTGCCCTGTAAGAAGTTCTGTCGATCGTGGGAACGAGGCCGTCGCGACCACCGGATGCCCAGCAGCGCCGGCCATTAAGGTCAGGATCGGAGCTTGCAAATTCTGTCTATTAGTAGCCAGCGGCGTAGCAGCGACATAAGTATCATCGCTCTAAAACAGTGGTCGGCACACATAAAATCAATCAACCACTGCACATGGCGTTTTTTTTTTTGCCATAAACTCTAAAATATACAGACTGAAACTTTGCACATTTGGTTTAATTAGGATTTTCGACTTTTCCTGAGTTTTTAAAGTCAAAATTTCGTAAAAAATACTGCACAAAAATCATAATTTTTGCATTTCAATGCTTTATATTTCCCAGACGGTAAGCTGTAATCACAAAGTGTTTAGGCTTAACTTCTAGCTGTTTTAATTACACTACTCGACAAAATCGAACTTTTTTTTCCTCAAGGATCCAAACCGACTTTTTCTGATAGATATGGGGATTTAAAATTTTTTAAAGAATTATGGTTTTTTTTCTATGGCAGAACTTTTTTTTGAAGAATTTTTGAAAACTGGTATTTTTTTTAAAGCTTTTTTCAGAGGTAGCTCTTGTTTTTTTTCACATAACTCTAGTATCTTACGTCTGGTTGTAAAGAACTTTGCTATTTTGTAAAGATAATTAAAATAGCTAGAAGTTAAGCCCAAACACTTTGTGATTACAGCTTACCGTCTGGGAAATATAAAGCATTGAAATGCAAAAATGATGATTTTTGTGCGGTATTTTTTACGAAATTTTGACTTTAAAAACCCAGGAAAAGTCGAAAAAAAATTATATCTTGTGTCCTCTATTTTTTTTGTGTATAGGTGCGTTAATTTGGCGTCGTTTAAGGTATCGCTCATTAAAATCTATGGAGAGACTTTGGAGCTAAAATTCGTTAACCAAACCTAAAATATGGAAAAAATGAACAAAAAATACCTTTTGGAAGGCGGCGAGCTCAACTGCCCATTGGGAATTGGGATCGCGATCAGGTACCAAATGTACAACCCTTGTTCGTTTGCTTTGTTCCCAATTGGCAGTTGGGCCCGCCGCCTTCCAAAAGTTCTGCCATAGAAAAAAAAAAAAATATCATCAAACCATTTCTAAGCCCCAAATCTTTAAGAAAAAGTTCGTTTTGTTCCTTGAGGAAAAATCGTGTTGACTAGTGTTATCTTTTCAAAATAGCAAAGTTCTTAACAACCAGACGTAAGATACTAGAGTTATGTGAAAAAAACAAGCGCTACCTTTGAAAAAAGCTTTAAAAAAATACCAGTTTTCAAAAATTCTTTAAAAAAAAGTTCTGCCATAGAAAAAAAAAAAAATATCATCAAACCATTTCTAAGCCCCAAATCTTTAAGAAAAAGTTCGTTTTGTTCCTTGAGGAAAAATCATGTTGACTAGTGTAATTAGAAGCAACAAATATACTTAAAGAAATTTTAAATTTTCAGAAAACAATTTTTCATACAAAAAGGTATAAAAACCAAATCTATCACAAAATGTTCTGTTCTACAGAATGACACAAAATGAAATGAAATAGGCGATCAAACACACATTTTTAGACCAAATTTGAGATTTTTGTTTGATTAATTTTTAATTTTTGTGGAACCTATTTATAGAAAAGTGAAAACTTTTGTAAAGAAAGAATGCCGCATACTCTGGCTATCATTTAAAAATAACCTTATGCAATTTGGTGTACGCGTTGCGGAGGAATTAAATGAAATAGGAGCTCAAACACACACTTTTGGACCAAATCTAAGATTTTGTTGATTAATTTTGAATTCTTGTTGAACCTATTTATAGAAAAGTACTAATTTGTTTGTGCAAACAAGCCACATTCTCTGGCTATCATTAAAAAAAAACAGCATGCAATTTATAGTATAGATTATAGTAATTATTATATAGTTAGTATAATAAATACTTCTAATAACATTACACGGATGACAGTATTAATGGCATCAATGGTATCAACTTTACAAATTTATAATGTGTGAATAAGGCGAGTGAACCGGCGCGGCGGTTGGCGCTCGAGCTAAGCAAGTACGCCGTGTGCTTTCCTTAAAGTACATACATCTAAGAGAATTTAGTATAGTCTTTGAGTATAAAAAGTTTAAAAAGAAAAAAAACCCCGAAGGCGAACGTTGTGAGACCCATTAGCCGCGCCACTACTTTGATACCCGGTACTTAGTCAGTATATAAATATGTGTGCTTATGATTTATGTAGAATTTTAAAATAAATTATCTCTTTCCATTTTTTTTTTGTTGCTAAATCCATCTCTCTTTTCACGCTAACACGCCATTCTTTCTTTTTCTCCTCCGCCAGAGGGCGCATACTGCACATAGCAGAGTGTGTAATCGAGAGAGAGAGAGAGAGAATAAGTAGCGCTGCCGCGGGGGTTGGGGAAGCTTAGCCCATTTAATTTTAATTTAATTTAATGCAAATTAATTGGTTCTTTCTGTCTATAATAATGATCTCATCTAAAACAGATTCCGCAATTCAGTAGATATCGTCGTTCTTCACTGCGTTTTCGCTTTTCTCGTTTATTCAAAATTGTGGATGCCACATATTTGCATCGTTTGTGGTGGCGGAAGGGGGCGGGGCTAAATTTTGAGATGTACTTGTAACAGTGTGATATCACACCAGTCTGGATACAAATTTTGGGAACGTGCGTTACACACAATTCGACCACAAATCTATAATAGCGCTTAACTCTTTGAGTACCAGGTATAAAAACTCCTTTTAAGTGTTTGGTACAGATGGTGTAGGCCTGTAGGAAACACAAAGTTGGATTTTTTCGGCCTGTATAGTTCTTGGTCAATCCACAATTATTATATTAAATAATTGAGCACGTTTTAAGCTTTTCCCAGGCTACGTATAGTAAATCAATTAAATCTAGTATTTGCATCACATTCACTTTCAACAAAGTGAACATAGTCAACTGAGCTGGGTTGACCATTTCCCACACCATTCAACAGACCGGTTTTCCACCAAGCAGCGTGCAACTAAACCAAAAACTCTTTCATCTCCCTACTCTTAACTTTTGTTGAGATTGGGATTATACTTCTTTGAAATGTGTATCATTTTTTATATCTTTTTTGGAAAATATTATATTTGTGTGACTTGGTCAACGAAATTTGTAAAAATCTGTTTCCTATCACTTTTTGTTACTCATATTATTGTATGTGTTTATAAGCTACATATATATGCATATATATATTTATATTTATATATTCGTGAACGTCATGGGCGAGTGTGCATTTATGTACATGCACACATGTTTGAATACTTGTCTATACATTCACATGCATGCATTTAGGTCCTGGTGTGTGTGTCTGAGAGGTTTACAGTTAACCACTGTGCAAAAAACCGGTTTGTTAGCGCAATCTTTTGTTTTGACCAGCGGATTCACAGATATGTATGTACCTTGTATACACCTAAAATCTGTAACAACAAACGTATTTGAAAATGCAAAATCACAGACCCTTACCTTGTTCGCAGGTTTCCATTTCGAGTCGTATTTAATGATTTTGTGGCAAGCTTGAAACTTGTGGTGGCGCTGCTGCCACTATTAAGTTGACTGGCACTTGTACGAGGTAATCGCGGATTAATATTTCCATTTCCTGTAAACGGGCGCGCAGCACTACCAGCACTATTGCTGACGGCAAGTGCTCCCGGTAACATATCAAGGTGCATGATGATTCCCATGCACAGTAGCATTAATGTTAGCGCCGACCGGCTAATGAATTTACACCGTCTTGTATAAACCAGAAAGGCTACCATGACTGCGAACCGTATCATCTCTAGACTTTCATATATGTATATTGCACACGATAGAGCCGTTATTACCTGTAATAGTTTATATCTTTGTAAATGAATGTTTGGATTGTATAACGACCAACAAAAAATGTTCAGACTGGTTCGGTTTACAAAAAATACAATTATATAGTTTATTCATGTGAAATATGAACAAAAAATGGTTAATATTATATATATATTTCTTTAATTCAATATTTGTATTGTATATGTGCATACATACATATGTAAATTAAATAAGTTATGGATTATAAATGTTCGCAGTAAACATGAAGTCAAACTTTTGTGTTTTTTGTTTCGTTTTTTGACCACTTTTGCATTAATAATGAATTTAAATATTTAACTCATTAGACATTATCCGGTGATTTTCAATGTTTTCGAAATTAAATAGACATACACAACCACTATTAAGTTATAAATCCATTTTATATACGTTAAAAAAAACGTGAATGTACATTAAATAAAAAGCTTATATCTTCCACATTCAACAATTCACAACCGATTAAAGCCTTGGGTGAAACTTTTCTGTTTCTGTTATAGATCTCAGTAGCTATACAGCTGCCTAAGCAACCACAAATCACAGCTTTACAACATGCCCAGAAACTCACCACAAAGATAGATATTGTGGAACTCGTTTACTCTATCCGAAAGTGAGAGTTGCTTTACAGTTTAATATAAGAAACATAAGTAAACTCTTACAGTTGTATGTTAGTATGTATTGTATATACAATATGCTATTGTAATATATATGTACATACATACAAACGATCTGGTTTAGTACGATTTCTGTAAGTATTTGTTCATTTTAATATTACCCAAATCTTTAGATATAGGATAACATCCAGTCGCCTAACATGTTTTAGAACTTTAATAGTTTTTAGATATATCATCAGCTTTATTTATACCAGGTTGAGTATAGGATTATATGAGATTTGTGGCTGATTTCGATGTGTGTAATATCCAGAAGAAAGCATTCCGACCTTATAAAGTAATTATTTCTCGATCAGCATCGATCAGCAATAGCCGAGATAATATAGCTGCGTTTTTCTGTTCGTATGTCCGCTCCGATGAGCGCCTAGATCTCAGACTCTATAAGACCTAGAGCAACAGTTGATCCGTCTGGATCATCTGTGATATCACACTGAAACAAGTAGGCATACAAATGTATTTAAAAATTTCGCCACGACACACAAACGAAGAAAATCTAGAAATATGAAAAAACCGAAAACGCAGATTAATAGAAAATTAGCACAGCTACCAGATTGCTCATTTGTACAAGGCAGTCGGTCCTGGCAGTTTATTTGTTTATTAGTCTTCTGTTTCCACCAATGGCCATTTTTTTTTTCAAAGCTCTATTCAAACTTACTTACTTACTTAAAGCAGTGTTTTTTATGTTCAGAGTACACATATAAATCAAGAAATTTTAGAGGTACACCAACGAAAAAAGCAATTTTTATTTAATACTAGCGGACCCGGTAAACTTCGTCTCTCCCCAATTTAACGCCTTCAGATATACTCCAGAGTGATAATACGAGATGTGTTATTTTAGTTTATGTCCTAGGTCATTTCAGCCTGATTAGGACCCAATGGTCATTTGCATTAAAATATTTTTGTATTTTTTTGGGATAAGCCTCTATAAAACATTTTATTGTACGGCCACGTTTAAAATCGATTAACTACAAACGAAAAATTGATCTCAGACAAAAATTGAAATCAACATATGAAAATGTCTGTGTCGTGATTTTCAACCTCATTTGGGGGGATTTTTAAGCCAAGAATGCTTAGATCAGCTTAGTTCAACTTTTGTTGATGAATGCAATGCATAGTGCCAATGTAAAAAACTGGTGTCGCGAATTACACCGTGGACGTCGTTACAGGACGAATTTCGTGAAGGTGGTCTAAAATGAATTTTTGTGCCACAAAATATCGATGCTGTGCGCGAAATGATAGAGCAAAATCGTCATGTTATATACCGTGAGATTGAGGTATTCTAGAGCATTAGTATGACGACCATTTATACGAATTTTCATGATCACCTCGTGCGAGCCCAATTAATTAAAAAATCGAAAATTTTACAAAAAACGTGTGTGGATGTATAAATATAAAATCGAAGCAAAATCAATAATTATAATCGACGGTATGGATCGACAGGCAGAATAAGACCTGTTGTAGAGATACTTTCTTCTGAGGGCCTAAAGTACTGCGAAAATGGGATAAGATATTGTTCAAAGCAATAAAACCATTTTCAGCCGCTTTAGTTGTGTTTTTAATAGTTAGGACAGATATTTCAGTAGCAACCTACGTGAAGCACAGATTGTTAAAATTTCAACATAATTTATTTGAATATATTCGAAATCTGTTGAATGCGATAAGAAAAAAAATGTTTTCCGATATGTTTTCCGGCGCAACAAAAAACAACGTAGACGGTTTGCCATCACGCGAACAGGCAACGAATAGCTAACTGTAAGAAAAACAGGGAAATTCGAGTTAATCCCACAGTCTTCCAACGATTGGCCTGGCGTCACGAAAGAGGATATTCTCGTCTGATCGTAACATTGACTGATTAAAACGAATGAGCTGAATTCATTGAGCTGACCTTATTCGTTTCTTCTGCTGAATAATGAATTTAAACTTATATTTAGAATGCACGAGAAGGAACGTGCGAGTCGCTTCTGGGGACTCGACTCTACTTATACCCGTACTCAGTCAGTATATACATATTTGAGCATATAATTTTGTAGAATTTTTTGAATTAAAAAAAAATTTTACATATTACATTTTTTTGCTACATCTGCTATCTACATCTACAATGTATATTCTACATCTAAAATGTAGATTGTACATGTTCCAATTAGATTCTACATCTCCTCCGCTAGGGGTTGCTCGCGCACTGAACGTGGCAGAGTGTGCGAGCGAGAAAGAGATAGGTAGTGGGTCTCTGGCAGGGGGAGGCGGAGGAAGAAACAGAAAATTAATTTCTTCATTTTGGCTATAGTTATAATCCGATCTGATTCAGATTCGGCAATCTGGTAGATATGGGCATTCTCTACGATACTACGTTTTTGTGGGGGCGGGGCGAAATTTTGAAATACACTTTTAGCAGTGTGATATCACATGAGTCTGGAAACAAAATTTGGTTCCTCTAGCTTTTATAGTCTCTGAGATCCAGGCGTCAAACAAGACGGACAGACGGACAGACAGACATGGCTCTATCGACTCGGCTATTGATGCTGATCAAGAATATATATACTTTATGGGGTCGGAAACGTTTCCTTCTCTGCGTTACACACATTCACTTTTACCACAAATCTAATATACCCCTTAACTCTTTTTTGAGTACGGGTATAAAAAGAACTGATGTAAGCAAACCTTTCGTTGGATTAACCATCTTTATATTGAAGTGATAGCCATCCTCTCCACAACAGAAAATCAATGAGTATGACCATATGACCAATGAGTCTCGTACACGCGTTTCAATTGTCCACCATTCCGACGCTTGAGAACAATATCGCGTGATTTCAAATTCTCGCCAAGATTAACTACTGCGACTTCATTTATATTTGAAGCATTATCTTGGATGGCCTCCAGCGGGTCTTTTGTCTCCTCTGATAATAATTTTTTAGTCGTCCGAATCTATAGTATCCAATGCGGTTTTGAACAATCTGACCAATGTAGTATGCTCATGCAGAATATTTTGCAATTGTTCACAATTCACAAATTTCACAACGCTTATCCAATTTAAATACCGAATCACCAACGAAATAGATCTGAAGGAACTTATCGTCTTTTGGTGATGGTAACAAAGTGCACGCTCGATGGTGAATTTTCCCTTCGATCTGAATGTTTGGAAGCAATTTCGAATTTCATTACCTTATAACTCAGATTGTAACAGGGTTATATTCAAATGGCGTCATTTGAAAGCATCCGTTATATTTTTGGGTATTCGCCAGGACATGCTTTGATTGGATTGTATATCCATAGCGAAACAAATGCAAAGGCACTGGTAGTTGAGTCAAAAGGGTCAAATTTAGCTTGCCACCAGCGCAGCATATGATGGGTGTTTACGATTGAATCTTCAATGCATTGCAATGCTGGCATACGACCCCCAATAGACCGATAGCAAAGCAGCGAAGATCTTTATTGGCGATTGCGGAATTGAAGTCTACATTTAAATTTTGTAGAATTTGAGGAGGTAATTGTGCAGCGCGAACCTGTGCAATATGGCCAAGTCTCCTTTTATTTTCTTCCTCACATTCCCCTTGAGTTAGATTATAACGGACACTCTGACTAGATACAAAATGCAACATTATTGTTCGTAGCCGTCTCTAGACACGTCTAATGACTTTAAGCCTAGTACTCAGATCAAAAAACTGTTTGCTAGCAAACAAATGCCATATATTCTTCCAGCGGCCAGTTCTGTGACCAAAGGTGTGCACTGCATTCCGTACGGTTACACTGCTCAGACAGCTGCTTGGTTTTGTTTAAAGTTAATAAAATGCACTTCTTCGGCTGGGCTCTCTCTTCCCCAGGTATATCCTGGACTCCCCAATATTTTATTAGCAAGGTAATGTGTCTGACTATCAGCAGCAGACGCCTCCCGTGCCGACCACCGTGAAGACAAAATGTTTTGAAAACAATATATGTTTTATATTGATGAAAATTAATAAAAATAATTAATTAGATTATATTTGTCTTCATTATTTAAATATTTAATTTGGTTTTTTGTTGTCATATTGAAATGTTTGCTTCGTGTTTTCTGGCAAAATATATCAAATTGATATAAGTTTTTTAGTATATACCGACATCTTTGTTTGTTGATCTGAGTACTGCCTTTCGTACAGAGCCTAGAAAACATACGAATATCAACCCTGATTCTGTTCGCGAGGTGTTTTTAAAGAAAGGTTTTAAAGGTTTTAAAGAATTATGGTTTTTTTCTATGGCAGAAGTTTTTTTTAAAGAATTTTTCAATTCTGGTATTTTTTTGTAAAGCATTGAAATGCAAAAATTATGATTTTTGTGTGGTATTTTAACGAAATTTCGACTTTAAAAACTCGGGAAAACTCGAAAAAAAATTATATCCTGTGACCTCTATTTTTTTGTGTATAGGTGCATTAATTAGGCGTCGTTTAAGGTATTGTTTATTAAAATCTATGGAGAAACTTTGGAGCTAAAATTCGTTAACCAAAACTAAAAAATGAACAAAAAATACCTTTTGGAAGGTTGCGGTCCACACTGCCAATTGTGAATTGGAGTCGAGATCTGGTACCAAATGTACAACCCTTTTTCGTTTGCATTGTTCCCAATTGGCAGCTGGGCCCGCAACTTTGGAAAAGGTGTTTTTGTTAATTTTTTTAATTTTTAGGTGTTTTATGCTTTATATTTCCCAGACGGTAAGCTGAAATCACAAAGTGTTTGCGATTATCTTCTAGCTGTTTTAAATATCTTTTCAAAATAGCAAAGTTATTTATAACCAGACGTAAGATACTAGAGTTACGTGAAAAAAAGAAGCGCTAACTCTGAAAAA